CCCCCCCCCCCAAGATGACCTGCGGTTTTCTAATACAACTGGTATTCTGCCAAAAAAAAAACTATGTGGTTTATTGGTGTTGAAGTGGAGCAAGAGACGAGTGCACCCCCTCCTAAAAGAAATCCTGGATCCGCCCCTGAGTAGGTATATATCCGACCAGTTAAGGGATTAGAATCGGCGCTAGCATTCATTTTTTACTTTAAAGCATGGCTTATCGGTTACCGGTCGTTTTGATACAAAGTTGTTTGGATACAAGTTTATTCATTCGAGGTGTGAATAGTTCCACGTACTTGGCTTAAAGAACGACGATATTCACCCAAAATGTTTTTCTTGTTCACTCGAAAACTATACTTAAAGTGAACAAAATTTTTGTGCAATTTCACTGCTTGAGTTAGTATCTAAACGACCGGTTTCCATGACTTCTAGCCTGTAAAGATAAGGTGACTTTCGAGAAATGGGCCTCTAGAACTAGAAGAAAACCACAAATCAGGTCACTCGTATGATTACAGACCGAATAGGATCTACTCCAATGCTAATACCATCGGATAGATCGTGAAATATATGACGCCCATTAATACTTCAGATCTGATGTGACATCGGAAGTAACGAAGGAATTGGGCATTAGAATTTTTTAGTCTCGGACAGTGAAAGACGGCAGCTGAAAGGAACTAAAGAGCTAGTCTTTTCTTCCCCCTCGGCGGTGGGGAAGGGTACCACCATAATGCTTGATATAGCCTGTGAGCATGCTCTCCCGGGGCAGAGGTTGTAGGCTTTGAGGTGTTCATTTTCTGAAAATGGAATCTTTTTTGAATTAATAATTCTTCCATAAGGTACCTTTAAACTGTACTGGCTAAATCGCAGAACATAAACTCCTGTGCGTTAAAGTATAGATAAAAGTAGTTAAGTCCACTTCTCACAATCTTACTCTGCCCGTTTTCTTTTATTAAAATAGGCCGTCGTTATTCCGATTAAGGTATCTTAAATAGGATAACGATTTAGTTATTCCGGTTATACAGTAAAGTTACAAAATCTGTTCGAGCAAATGTGATACGATGTAAACTGCAGCTTGCGGACAAATAGTTCAGCTGCTTCTAGAGTATATCCAAAACAAAAACAATATTTGTGCATTTCTGACTCCATAAGCTACTTAATGAACTAAGTAAAACCTCTTACATACCAATGCAATCTGTTTTCTTTTTTTGTTTTGGTTTCTATAACCCTCACGCCATTTCCTTAACAAAAAAGTAACATTAAAGAATTTTGACTTTCGCTTAAACTTTCAACTTTAACTTTTATAATATTAGCATTGAGAAAACTAGCCTACTTTTCATTCTTAACCGTATCGACAACAGATGCCTATTTGCTGGTCGCCGGTTTGATATAGAGAACGTGCTACTATGTGTAAAAGGAATTCAAGATTAAACGACAATTTTTTTCCCACGCAAAAATATGTATACTAACCAGTGTGGATAAATATAAATACCACTCAACCAATCTTAAATTTAGCAGATCGTTTCTATTGACGGGGCATGCAGACTGTATTGACCAGCTGGCCTATAGTGGGTGGTACTATTGCATGTGGAGTGTTTTTGATGTTACTGTCTATTGCTGGAATTTATGGTGCAATCAAGCATCACCAGATTATTTTATTTTTTGTATCCTTTGTTGAGATAAGTTTACCATTGCCAAAAATGAATTGTAGTTTGGAAAAAAGAAAGAACAGAAAGCTTTCAGTAACTGACATAATGGTATGCCTGTGGTCTAGATCAATTTTTGGTTGTTGCCATGGCTATATTAGTGATTCAAATTGTACATATCTAAGTCAGAGAGTTGGGCTGGTCAAAGCAATCTCTCTGTTGTTTCTGCAATATAAAATGCAACCACAAGCACAAAACTTGTATAATGTCACATAAACAGTGCACATACGTGTGCTTATGATGATAACAACCTGAATGCACTACAGCTGGAAATGAGGGGTTCTGTGAGGTGCCATGTTTTTGTTGCCTGTGCTTACGTTTACACTCTTGTATTATATGGGTAAATCACCCTTAAACTTCTGTATCTTGCCAGATGCCCCTTCATGAAGTTCAATATAAGATCATCTTGGGGAGTTGCCTTAGTTAATGGTCCAAGGTGTTTATCCTTAACTAGATGTATGTGTAGTACATGGCAATTATGATTATTGTGTTTATTATTCTCTTCTCTCTGTCTGTGGCCGCACTATCAATCAGTTCCAGTCAACAACATGCACTTCTTAAGAAGGGCTGGGGATCTCTGAGTAACAAAACAAAAGAAGAGTTCCAGAAGACAGGAGACTGCTGTGGTTTTGACCCCAATTTTGAGAACATTACAGATGGTCCATATGGTCACCCATCATGTGCCGAGGTATGGTTTATTAGTAAAACCCAATGTATATAATTAGCCACACCTTTCTCCTAGAGTTAATAAATGTGAGACTCAGAGTCATGATTGTGGGTGCCTTGATCTACAAGACCATCTACTTTTTTGGATATAAACTGCGTGGTTTGGGGACAGAAAGAGTATAAAGAACCAAAATGAAAAATCATTATTTTAGAACTTTGTGAAAACCACAATAGAGGATTTATGGTATTCCTAAAATATTTCTGGTGTTCAAAGTTTTATTAGCTGAGATGAGCCAGCCAGAACCAGAAATATTTCAAACAAATAATAATCTTTAAAATGCTGTTCAAATAAACCTCTAAGATTGTATTGTTACTGCAACAAGGAACCTGAAGGGTGTAGTAAGGAAATATCTATAGTTCCCTCACAATTCTGGGTTCAAAATTAACTTTGTGATACAAGAGCCATCTGGTGACCAGCCTTGACATTCTGGTCGCTAGCTATTTCTAGGCACGTTGGAAACCAGCTGGTAACAATTTAAGACCCATGAACATGTACACACCAATTTCAAATCACTGTGAGGCCTCTTGAAAGAAACTTTAACTCTTCCACTGCTGGAGTCAATTATTGAGCCCCCCGGGGGACTTATTTAGTTAAAGCCCATTTGAGAGGGGGCTTAATAGAGACGGAGGCTTATTTAATTTAGAAAAGATGATTGTATCAGTTGTTCATAAAGAACTAGAATACAAAGTGGGAAAGCTCAAGTACAAGAAGGTTAGAGGTCATGCAGTCAAGGATCAGAATCAAATCCGAACTTCCAGTTGGTAAATAAACCATCCTGGATCAGTCCACATGAAGTATTACAGTCATGATTGATTAATACAGTCTATCATTAATTTTAATGGTGAATAATTATTAGGGGAGCGGAGGGGAGGGAGGCTTTTTAATTTTCTTCCCCTGAAAAGGGGGGGGGGGACTTATTAGAGGGAGGGGGCTTATTTGAGAGGAGGGCTTAATGGAGGATTTACAGTGTGTACTGTTTTATGACCATTTACATTGAATAGAAGGACATGCTAGCAAGCCACAAAGGCACAAACATATTAGCTGTTGCTGCTTGCAGTTTATTTATACCTAGACTGATCAGCTCTTTCCTTGCAACACAATAATATGCCAGAAATTTTACTGGTGTTCAAGGTTTTGTAAGTTTCAAAGTAAATTTCCTGGCTAATTCTTAATAACCAGCTACGTGTAGTATGTACCAAATTTGGACGTTGTGTTCTGTTTACTTTACCATTGATGTTGATCATGAAATATCCAGTCAAAAGAGGGACTAAAATAATAATGTCATGCAAAGACAATGGCATGGGAGTAAAGTAAGCTGTTTTGATGAGGAAGTGGTGGAAGATCGCAAACATAATGCAAAAGCAAAATAGCCAAATCACTGCCTCAAAAACAGCAAGATTACACATAATAACCACTTGAGGGATAACTACTGCTTTTAAGATAATATCTGCCTGAAAAAAGCATCACACTGCCAAGGAACCGGCAAATATTTTGTAGATTGGAATTTATAATTATCATACTCAGCCTCATCCAATAACATTATTATTTTATTCTTGATCGTTTCACTAATATTTTCAGCTTCCATGTTGCACGAATCACACCATTAGTTGCCCAGATCAGTGTCCCACATGTTATGATTACCTTACAAACACAGGACTGAAAACAGTTAAGAATGATGTGGGAGGTATTGGACTCTTCTTTAGTTTTACACTGGTAGGTAAAAATTATAGAAATAACTAATAACAATAATACTTATTATTATTATTTAATTATGTTTTCAAGCTTTATTTTAATACCAGGCCCATTTTAAACAGGAACTATACCGTACATCAGAGGCACCTCTGAAACTATCGTACCTATACTACAACCTTACAATGGTTGCATGCATTGCATACAAACTGATAACCACTTTAGACAACTGCTTACAAAATATCAGGGACAAAGATAGACCAGAGGACAGACAGGGAGCAGTATGCAAGCTGTAGTAACTGCCAGGCCACTTGCATTGGTGAGACTATAAGAAACCTTAGCATTTGACTGACTGAACATGCACAATCAACAAGAAATGGTGAACACTATTTACAGATGAAACATCAAATTGACTGGGACAGTACAACATGTGTTACATATTGCGTATACTAATTATTACTTCAATCATCAACTCATCCTAGAAAGCTGGTTTTCTAACAAACCACCACCATACAAATGACTTATTGATAGACTCAAGCAAAACTGACAACAGTAGAATGACTAGACAATGGACAATTTGACTAATAATAAACAGCTGTTTTACTGTCACAAAAGACAGATCGAAACACACCAATGGCATTTAGAGGCTTCATAACCAATATTTTAACAGCTTAAATAACTGACAGACCATCAATAACAATAACACCACAACTCAATTGACCAGTCAGGTCAATAACCAGAGTTAAATGCCATCCACTGATGTGATACAACTCACTTTGACTCTGAAGATGACTATCGCACACGTTGCCAAAATGCGAGTCACTGTCAAGAACAGTCTTGACTACACTCACCCAGACAATCATATTCCACTTATGAAATTACTCCTGGTTTCAAACCTTTCACAAAATGTTTGTACATGTAATTACAGTAGAAATTTGTTATGAAGTCAAACCCCGCTTGCCCTGCTTAATATGGACAGTTTGCTTTGTCCCCAGGGAGAGAAAGCTCTCACATTAATTTTTCTCTAAATTCAACCCGCTTAAGATGGACACCCCGTTAACATAATATGGACTCTTTCTATGGCCCCCTCAGTGTCTGTATTAACGAGGTTTGAATGTACTGTACTATAAAATTTAAAAAGTAGTGGTCCCTCCAAAAGAAACAGCTCATCTTAATTAACCTGTAAATTTTGACCTTCCTATTGAACCCCCAAGAGTAGAAGCCCTTTTCATGGGCCAAACCTAATTCAGATTAAGGCTGACCCAAATTACCTTTAGACTGGCTGAATTGATTCAGAGGTCAATCTTAATTTATTGCAGCTGAACTTATTCAAAAGGAGAAGACTGATGCTCATTTAGGTCAAACTGCTTACAAAATTACATAATAATTTATGCATTAGGTTCGGTACATAAAAAGTTCGGTATCTGAATCAAAGCCGTTCCAAAGTCGAAATTCCCAGCCGGGCTAGGCAGAAAGAACGGCTTAGCCATTCCAAATTGACGCAGGCATTCCTAATTGATTCAGACACCCAACTTTTCATGTACTTAATTCAATGTATTAGGTTAAGCTCATGAAAAGTTTGGTGTTTGAACAGAGCCTTACTGTAAATGGTGAATGAAGAATTTTGTTTTAGATAACTTATAGAATAATAATGTAGAAATGATATCTCAAAAAGTGTCACAAGTGGTAGTAAACACAGTGTATAACCCTTTTTCAGTCTAGGAGAAATCGTCAAACTACACAATATGATATTGAGATGAAAAGTTGAGGCATGTGTGTGTGTTGTAGTTAATTTTTTATCTCAGGTAGTATTTATTTTTCCTTTGTTTCAACTTCATTAGCATACATTATAATACTCAAAAACAAAAGAAAAACAAAAATTACCTGAGATAAACAATTAACTACAACATGTACATTTACTTGTTAATAGTCGCACATGCATAAGTATAAGTAACACTTCAAATGAAGCTGAAAGTGATGTTGAATTTTAGTCCATTCAGCTGAACAGTTCCAAGCTTGAAAATGATTCCTATTTCACAGTGCTTTTTTTGGATGTTCGTTTCATTGCATAAAACCATACCAGGACATCAGAAATGCTGTGACCCGGCATTTCAACTCTGTGGGTCACAGTATTGATGCCATTAAAGTTTAACATAAGATACTGGAATGTGAAATATATGACTCCTCTTTCTTATTCAGTGTGCAAAGTTCCAGCAGGCTTGTGACATTGGCTTCAGCCATACTTAGCAAGTTGACTGCATTAGTTTTTTCAATAACCTGTTCAAAAGTTTTTCTAAACGAACGGTAACCCGGTTAAAAGGGAAGTTGCATTTTTTTAGCCAGGTAATTATTGGAGATAACTCTGTTAAGTACCCTAGTGTGGCTGGAGCCATTGTGTCCCCCCTCCCCCTCCCCCCCTCCCCGCCCTGTTATGTATTGTTGTTCAGTTTATGGATGTTGTATTAGAGCATGTAATAATCAGCACAGGAAAAAATAATGGATTCCCATTTTTGGATATTTTAGGGTATTTAAAGAATACCCATAAAAATCCCAAATTTGGCAAAGTGAGACAAGTCCCAACCAGGGAATTCCCAACCAAGTTCCCTGATTGGGACTTGTCTCACTCTTCCAAATTTGGGATTTTTGTGGGTATTCTTTAAATACCCTAAAATATCCAAAAATGGGAATC